GAAATAAGCATTCAGATTAGACTTTTTTTTTTTTTGGAAAGATTTTTGCTATAGGGCGCATGTGCTCGCCAGACAGACAGAGAGAGACAGAGAGACAGAAAGCGAGAAATCACCCCCGGGGGGGTGGCCACGCCTCAGTCCCTTCTCCTCCAGTCTCCTCTCTGGATCTTGGGCACGCACGCACATGCGCCCAGCGTGAGTTTAAGCCACCGAGTCCGGGATGCAAACCGCGGTCGACTATGTGGGAGTCCAGCGACATAGCCATTACGCCAGCTGCTGGTCCCAGATTAGACTCTTTCTCAAAGCTAGATTCATTAAGTTCATAAAGGGACCATGAGTGCAACTTGTCCTTGATTTTTATGATTATTTTTGTTAGTCTTTATTTCACCTTCATTTTTTAAAAAGAATTATTTTATTAAAGCAGAATAATTTTATTTAACTTTATTTATTTACTCATTTATTTTATTTTGACCAGAGAGCAACAGAGTGAGAGTGAGAGAGAAAGAAAGCAAGCTGCCAGGTCTGGGATTCAAACCACAGTCAGCCGTGTGGGAGTCCAGTGCCCTTAACCACCATGCCACCTGCTGGCCCCTGTTATTCCTTTTTAATTTGACCAGAGGGAAACGAGGGGGTGTGAGAAAACAAGCCACCAAGTCCAAGACTCGAACCATGGCTGGCCACGTTGGAGTCCAGTACCTTAACCACCATGCCACCTGCTGGCCCCTGTCCTTGATTTTTTTTTAAAAATAAAAGCTTATTTATTTCTTCCATGTGTGAGAGAGACAGGTACCCTCAACAAGGTCTTACTGTCACATTTCACCCTCAGCCAGCCCAGATCATGGTCATTTAACGTGGGCCTGGAGTGCTCAGTGTGGTTCTGGGAGGGTAGGTATTATTGCTGGAACACCACCTGGCCCCTGGACCCTGATTTTTGAAGATTCAGGACTCACTACTTATTTTTTTTTAAAAGATTTATTTATTTATTTATTTCCATTTGTTATTGTTATTTTTTTTTCTTTATTTGACGAGAGAGAGAGAGAGAAAGGGAAAGGGAGAAACCAAGCCACCAGGTCCAGGACTTGAACCATGGTTGGCCATGTGGGAATCCAGCGCCCTTTCCCACCACACCACCTGCTGGCCCCTGGGACTCACCACTTCTTATCAGAAGGATGGCAACCACAAGGTCCATCTTAGAGCTTTAGATCTGCGGTGGGTCTTGTCCAGCATGGGTTGGATGAGGGGCATACCTTCCCCTTAGGACCACGGAAGCCTCAGTATGGGGATTAGGCACCAGTGACAAGTTCCTCTCCACTGAAGTTTGGTAAACACATTCCTGAAAGGCTGAGTTCGCCAGTCCCCTGAGGATCCCACCCTGTCCATTCTGTTCATGTGTGTTCAACTCATCAGCTCTTGTGCTTGGTCCAATAATTCCCAGTTCCAGTAAATTTTCCTATCAGGGATAAATGTATGGGGAGAGATCTCCATGAAGGAAAAGAAGAAATGAAACTTGGTTATATTTTACATTTCAACATTAGGATTTCCTTTCTTAAGACAGTTTATAACATCTTATATATTTTTATGATGTTTTCATTATTGGTCTAACTATTCCATAAGGACATTTACAAGCTGAGGGGAAAAAAAAAAAACAACAACATTAAAAAATTTGACCACTAGAAAGTTGGTGGAGCTTTCTTTATCATCCAGTCTCGGCTTGTTTGGAGTTATGGTCACTAAAGTAGGTCATTCTCTTGATGAGGATAGTGTAAACAAGATGGAGAGAAGCCACAATGGAGTTGGTGAGACGAGCTGCCGTATTTGTGGTCTTTTCAGTAGTCCACTGCATACAGTTGACGTTGGGTGAAGATTTCTTTACCCCGTTTTGGGCCAACCTATATTTTCCCACAAGGATTCCCAATTTATTTGTTGCACTTGTTATCATCATATCTGAGATAGAATAAACTTCAGGAGATTTCCGTTTAATTTCATATTCATCTAAGGTTCTGATGGCGGAAAACTTGTTCTTTTTTGTAAGTAAATCTCTGGTTTTTAAGAACAAATGCAGAATAAGGGAAAGTGGCCCATATCCAGCAACAAACTGAATAGAAGAATGAACAACTGACAACTTAGGTATCCACATTTGAGGGAGAGATTTTTCTCTTTTTTTTTTTTTTTTGAGAGTTTTTTTTCACTATAGGGCGTGTGCGCTCGCCAGACAGACAGAGAGAGACATAGAGACAGAAAGCGAAAAATCACCCCCCAGGGGGGATGGTCACACCGCAATCCCTTCTCCTCCATTCTCCTCTCGGGATCTTGGGCACGCACGCACACGCGCCTGGCGTGAGTTTTAAGCCACCGGGTCCGGGACGTGAACCGTGGTCGACTACATGGGAGTCCAGCAACATAGCCATTACGCTAACTGCTGGTTCCCAGAGATTTTTTCCCTTGAGAGAGGCTTCTATGAGTGAGGGAGACAGAGTTAGAAACCCCTACAAGGTCTTGATTCTGACCCAGCTTCACCCTCAGCCCCAGCTGGCCCCAGACCACAGGCAGCACACTCAGGGGGGGTCTCTGGACATGATCCCGGAACCTTATGTGGGTCAGCCTCATAGAGTATCACCTTTTGCCTCTGCCCTGATATCTGGTCACTTGAGCCTCAATATTAACTGAACAAAATCAATGAGAATGACTGAGTATATTTTACTCTGGAGGCATTTAAATGATCAATTATCAGGTCCAGCAGAAGGTATAGCAGTTATGTTGCTGGACTCCCACATGACCAACTGCAGTTCGAGTCCCAGACCTGGTGGATTAAATCACGCTGGGTTTGTGTGTGTCCATGCCCAAGATCCTGGGAAGAGAATGGAGGAGAAGGGATAGCAGGTGGCCTTCCACTCTGGGAGGTGATTTCTCACTATCTCAGTCTCTCTCCAGCAAGCACACACACCCTAAGGCAGAAACCTATTAAAAAAAAAAAAAAAGAAAGATCAATTACCAACTAATCAGGCAAATTCCTAGAATCACCATCTTCTTCCAACTGCTCCTTATTAAAATCCTTTTATAGTACTTCAATAGAATGCACGTCCCGTATACCTGGAGCTACATTTATGGGTTTGGGAAGAAGTTTTCATAATTAGGCTCCAAGATGGGAACAAAGTGAAGGTGCAGTTATGTCCAATTGTCGCCTTTATGATTTAGTCTTTCTCAGCATCGCTGGTGTTCCTGTGTATTGACTCAACAAATACTTGCTCTGGGTACAAAGAGGAGCGAGATAGATGAGGTTTCTCCCCTGAAGTTCATCTTTTAGTGTAGACAACAGGCAATAAATAAGTGAAACACCACAAATAACATAAGATAGCAGGACCAGCAGTTATCATAATGGCTATGTCGCTGGACTCCCACGTAGTCGACCGCGGTTCGTGTCCCGGACCCGGTGGCTTAAAACTCACGCCGGGCGCGCGTGTGTGGGTGCCCAAGATCCCGAGAGGAGAATGGAGGAGAAGGGATTGCGGTGTGGCCATCCCCCCTGGGGGGTGATTTCTCACTTTCTGTCTCTCTGTCTCTCTGTCTGTCTGGCGAGCGCAGGCGCCCTATAGCAAAAACCTCAAAAAAAAAAAAAATTGTATGGCCATAAGAGGTGGGAAGAAGATAGAGCAGGCAAGGGACTAGAAACAGTGGAGTTGGGAGGTGGGGGAGCCGTCTGTGACTTGCCATTGTGTGAAGGAATAAGCTCCCCAAGGAACTGTAGAAAAGCCTTTTTAGGAGAAGGAGAAGGAGTAGCAAGGTCTTGAGATAGGAGAGAGCAGACAAAGACCCTGTGAGGCCATTGGAATGTCAGGGGGCCTATGGCCTAGGGGCCCCTGCAGGGACTTGAAAGAAAGAAGCCCCCTAGGGTTTGAGTAGGAGGTAAAGAGGTCTGATTTGCATATTAAAGGATAACGACTGGATGGACCCTGAGGTTTGGAGGGCTTAAGGGCATGCCAGGACCCTCCCCCCAAACACACACACACCTTCTACTTCCATCTGTGAGTGGCTGCCCACAAAGAGGGATGGAGGATTGGCCCTGCTGGCCCTGGAGTCCAAGAAGAGAGTGGTCCCATCTGAGAATGGCACTCACTTCTGGACTGGCTGTGGAATGGGAGGGAAGGCTGGGAGCTGGGTGAGAGCTGGACTGCCTTCTTGGGTTAGTGTCTTCATGCTGACACAAGGAAGATGGGAAGTGTGGGAAATAAAGGATAGATGAGCAGAGGGCCAGCTGCAACGGCACGGTGACAATGCCACACTCAGCGATGCTGAAGCCATCTGGGAAGGTGTCCAGAGACCTCCCTCGCGGCTCACACGCATGCCTGTAATCCTGTCTGGCTGGGGCTGTGGGTAGGTCACTGCATGAACACTCTGTGGAGGGCATCTCTCTCTCTCACAGAAGAAATAAACAAACTTGGAAAAGGTCACAAAATGTTAAGGGTAGGTGAATGAACATGTCCAATGGTATTTGAAAAACATTTCATCTTTTGAGAGAGTCAGTCGATGCTGAGGTTCATGTTGTGGAACAGAACTTTAGGGACATTGCAGATATGTCACGATTCCAGGGCAAGTCATAGTTATTCCACTAAGGCCTTTGTTCTCTGAAGGCGGGGTCTGATTCATCTTAGTACCTAGATTGTGCCTTAGAGATAACAGATTTAAGTCAGTGTTTGTTTTGACACTAAAGGATTAATTATTTGCAGAATTGATTTCAATTGTGATTATGTAAAGAAATATTGGGAGTGGAATACGTTCTGAGAGGCTGGTGTTTTGTTTCTGGATCCATAAGATCTGAACAGACATGGTCTCGTGAGAATTTCCAGAGATCACGCTGCCTCACTAGCACAGGTGTTAGTGAGCTGGTGCTAGGGAGGGTGCAGGTATTTGATATTTCTAATTGAGGAGCTGGGGCCAATGGAGGAGAGAGACGCCAATCTTTTTTGATGGACTCATACGTCTGTTCTGTCTGCTTTACTTAGGATGAGTTAGATGAACTCCGTGCCGAGATGGAAGAGATGAGAGACAGTTATTTAGAGGAAGATGTTTACCAGCTGCAGGAACTTCGGCGGGAACTGGACCGTGCTAATAAAAACTGCCGAATCCTGCAGTACCGCCTCAGGAAAGCCGAGCAGAAAAGCCTGAAAGTGGCTGAGACAGGTCAGGTAGATGGCGAGCTCATCAGAAGCCTGGAGCAGGACTTGAAGGTGAGTGGGAAGGGATGACAGCAGGTGTCTTCCCGGGAGGGCTGCTGTGGGGGTGCTGAGCTGAAGATGTACCCCCTAGACCCTGCTTACACATCTTTTTTTGTTTTTGTTTTTTATGTGCCTTTCCTGCTCATGTCTCTCTCTGGACATATTTCAGCATAAACATCTTTGGTTACTTCATTCTTATAGAGTGTGGGTAGTCACGCAACTTTGACCACCCAAGATTTAAATGTGTCTTAATAGGAACTGAACTAAACCGTTAAGAAAGAAAGAAATTATGGTAATGGAGCTACAGCAAACAAGAATTAATAGCTGCTGATTGGCCTGGCAATTGGGTAAAAATTGTGCACAGACTCCTAAAGATCCGAAGTATCTTTCAAAAGCTATTGATCGGCAGTTCAGCCAAGGGCCACTCTTAAAAGCTGCTCACGTCACTTGGTATGTTTATTATTTCAGTTTCGAGGATGTAGAAAAGCTGCAATTCTCCTACCCCAAGTCAGGCTTGTGTGATGGTGATTTAACTAAAAGAGAAACAGGATCATAACCAGTTGTCTAACTAGGTTTGAAAGCCGCTGGCAGAAGTGGGAATGAGGACAGGACATCTCAGACTCTACCATTTGCTCTTTCCCCGGGCAGCAAAGCTTCTCTTATGACCCAACTGTCAAATCATTTATCTAGAAATGAATTATGCATCATGTCTTCCTTATTATGGACAGACTTGTGGAATCTCATCTGTCCTTTCATTATGACAACAGAAAAGGAGTCTCTGTGCTTCTATCAGAGTTATAAACCACTAAAAAAATGTCATCCAGTGTGACGAAGGGTGATTTATATTACTTCTCTTACAGAGTCTCTTCCTCATTTGCTTTTTTTTTTTTTTTGTAGAAAATAAAAACGTTTAACTACTTTGAATGCTCAAACAGGTTACCATTCTGGAGCCAGAGTAGACAATTTAAAATCTGACTATGTTTAACTTCACGGAGTTATTAATATTATTTAGCAGGCAGGTTCACTATTACCTTTGGGAACAGAAATGCTTGTTTGTTTACCATTCTTATTTTTAATTTATCAGTGAAAGCATGTGATCTTGGGAGGAATGGGCATTCCTGGTGATAACCTATGAAGGAATAAGGCTATTCTCCTTAATAAATGTTGATCTCATGTTGTATATGAATATCCTCCTCATTTAAAAATAGGTCTGTCGGTCCAGCAGGTGGTGGGGTGGGTAAGGTGCTGACTCTCACATGGCTCACCATAGTGCAAGTCCTGGACATGGTGGCTTATTTTCTTACTTCCCCAAACCCCTGCCTCTTTTTGGCAAGTGCACATGCCCTGGAGCTAATTTAAAATAATAAATAAAACAAAAAATAACTTGAGGAATAAAAGTAGATCTGTTCAATATTGCCAGGATCTTGGCTATTTGGTGTAATACCATATTACTTAATTATTCTGCCCTTGACATTGTCTGAATATACCCTTAGTGCACAAAAAGCTTCACATCCTTATGGTTATGTCTATGGATCAATGCAGGTAGCCAAAGATGTATCTGTCAGACTGCACCATGAACTTGAGACTGTGGAGGAAAAGCGTACTAAAGCGGAAGATGAAAATGAAACTCTCCGGCAGCAGATGATCGAAGTGGAAATATCCAAACAGGCCCTCCAGAATGAGCTGGAAAGACTGAAAGAGGTAATCCAGAAATATGTGGGCATTTCCCCCAGAGGTTTAATTGTTAGGAACTTGGGTCTCCAAATAGCTCATTCTTATTGTGTTCTAAAGCAGGGGTCACAAATGACCTGGAGAATGGTCTCTTTGTCTGGCTCAGGAGCTATGAATGGTTTTTACATTTTTTATAGCATTATAAAATGAACAAACCACATCAAATAAACCCTAAAAAAGGCAAGAGGGCTATGTAACAAAAACTGCATGTTGCTGGCAAAGCCTAAAATATTTATTACCTTACTCTTCACAGAAAAGGCTTGTTGAGCCCTAGTCTAAAGCTGTTTTTTATGATGGGCATTCAAATGAGCTGGCCATTAATTCCTTTGATGTATCCAAATGGGGTGTGTTATTATTGGAATACAGAATTAAGCAGTTGCTTCTTTCTCGAGAGCCTTCCCTTCCAATGAGCTGGAAAGTATGTTACGGTGTCTAATAAAGCTGTGTAAAGAGATAATGTATGTATGCTACCTATATATTATTCTGCCAGTATGACTTAAATATAGACTTTTTTTAAGTTTAGGGAGTGATTATTCTAGTAAGTGTTCTAGCAAATGAGTCTATGTGTATTTTCATTTGCATACAGCAATGCGAATCCCACTTTGTTGTTGACTTCTATGATAGGATTAAAGCTGTGTATTCTCTTGCAAAATATTCTTCCAATTGATGAAGTTTAAAAACCATTGTCGAAGGGTTTAAGATGCTGGTTTTTGCTTTGGTTAAGTTTCCAGATTGACCCGGTTTTGTCTCGTTCATTCAAGTAGCCACAGTCACATTAGTTCAGGCCCTACACGAGGCCCTGGGGATGGAGACGAGAATGCGATGCAGGTCCTGCTGTCAGGATGCCTGCAGTTCAGTCTGGTACACAGATAAGCTACTGCGAAGTAGAAAGTACTGTCACCTCTCTGATTCTCTCCTGCTCCCTCTTCTCAAAGCCATCTGAAAATGCTGTGGGTTTTATCTCTGTCTTGCATCCACTCCCTCCTTCACTAATGTGCCTCTAGAACACGAGTTCTTCAGGACAGGGGCAGGAGTTTGGTGAGTCTGGTTCACTGTGGAGTCCCTGTGCCTGGAATAGTGCCTGACACACACCTGGGTGAAGGGAGGAATGCAGAGGTGAGAAGGCAGACCTGCTGTGGTGATCAGGGCTCACTTTGGAGGAAGAGATTAGCTTCTGAGAATTTGCTTTCATCCTGGGTAAACTTTGCCTCTTAAATTCCAGTGTATTTGCCCCCAGGGTCAGAGGAATTTGACCCCTAATTGTGGATCTGTTGCCTTAGCACTTACAACTCCTGGTGCTTTATTCCTTTCCTTTTCCTTTGGTCTTACTTAGTTTGCTGCGAGGTATGCCAGAATGACTTACTTTCTCAAAATTTCCAGTTGGAACCTGACCTTGTGGGCATAGAAAATAATTCAGAATTATATTTTATGAGCTGTTGTATGTTTTGTATAAATATAAAAATATAAAACATATGAGGGGAACTTCACAAATTTCATAGAAAATTCTTATTTTGAAAAGCTAAACATGGATTTCAACTTATTTGCACCAAAATAAATTCATGCATTTTAAAAAAGAATTATTTTACTTTATTTATTATTATTATTATTTTCCAGTTTGATCAGAGAGACAGAGAAAGAGAAAGAGAGGGAAAGTGAGAAAGCAAGCCACCAGGTCTGGGATTTGAACTGCAGTCAGCCATGTGGGAGTCCAGCACCTTTAACCACCATACCACCTACCAGCCCCAATAAATTCATACTTTAATTCTATTTTTCCATGAACTTGAAAAGTTTCCTTGCATACATAGATGTATATGTGTGTATGCATGCTTATGCAAGGATTCTTTCTCAGGCGTTTGAATGGGTTTGTGTGGGGCTTGCATCTCTTTATAAGAGTTGAATCCTCTTGCTCTTGACATTCAAAGTAAGGCCAGGGTGAAGCAAGGATCTTCAGAGAGCCTGATGTTGGCCCTGGGCAGATGAGTGGAGAGAAGGTAGAAAAATCAGCCTCTCCCTTTGTGGGTTAAAATTACTCAGAGGGATTACTCAGTTGGAAGAGAAGAAGCATTTTACCTCCAGAGTTGCAGTCAGGCTGGTGGGACCACATATCTATACCAAACTTCTAAGTGTATCGGAAAACTGACAGGAGTCCCAGGAGGGTGAGAAGCTGGTAGATTATGCTGAAAGCAGAGAACGATGGGAGCTGGCAGTACAAGGTACAAAGTGGGAGAGAGTATAGTTATTGGAAAATGCTGGCTGTTGCCTCTGTGAGTGGGTTCTTCTTAGTACACTGTGAGTTGTATTCTGGTGCGAGAATGATATTTTCTTTATCCTGAGCCTTACTCTTCATTGTTCACCTTCATTGTTCAGATTTTGTAAATGGATATGTGACATCTTGAAAAAGTCAAGGGTAGTTCCTGCTTTGTGTGTATCTCTGAGTCACAGAATTGTACCTGAGGAATGTGGACCCCTCTGCGTCCAGGAACAGTAAACAAGGCTTCTCTGTGTCTCCTCATCTCTGTAGCTGTGCTGGGACTTCTCTCTTAGAGAAGTCTATTAGACTATTTTCAGCTCCCTGTGGGTATCTCCAACATGGGTTTCTCCTAGCCCTCAGACCCTGTGTCCACAACAAATGTATCACCCTCGCCCTACCTGCACCATCGCCTGTCCCTCTATTTGGGTGATGGCACCACTGTCTTTTAGTCACCAAGGCTGGCAGGGGCCATAGCCCTCTTGCTCTGCATCCTCAGTTGCTTGCTAAATGTGTTTGGCTCTACTTTTGCAGCCTTAAACATTATCTTTTTCACTGAAACATGATGTAACATGGATGAGCTTAGAAATATGCTAAGTAAAAGAAGCCAGACATATTGTAGGATTCCATTTATAGGAATCCCAGAATTCATATGGG